ATTACAGTATAAGTGTGTATATATATATATATATATATATATATATATATATATATATATATATATATATATATATATGTATATATATATATATATATATATATATATATATATATATATATATATTATATATATATATATATATATATATATATATATATATATATATATATATATATCTATATATATATATAGTATATATATATATATATATATATATATATATATATGTATATATATATATATATATACATATATATATACAGTATATGTATATATATATGTATATATATATATATATATATATATATATGTATATATATATATATATATATATATATATATATATATATATATGTATATATATATATATATATATATATATATATATATATATATATATATATATATATATATATATATATATGTATATATATGTATATATATATATATATGCATATATATATATATATATGTTATATATATGTATATATGTATATATGCTATATATATATATATATATATATATATATATATATATATATATATATATATATATATATATATATATATATATGTGTGTATATATATAAATATATATACAAACAGACAAGAAATATACTTTCATTATCCCATTGCCGGCGGGGAAAATGAAAAAAAAAATGAGGAAAATGCTGTTCCTATTTTCTATACTTTTTTGTTAAATGTCTGCTCATAGATGGCTCTGCTAGTGCCTGATTTGAAATGGCGGGAAAAACGTATTTTTCACTAGTGCCATGAATATCGATGGTGTTATTTTTATCATAAACATTATAATTTTTACAATGTTTTTTAACATTAGTAACAGCAAAATAAGATAACGTAAAATATTTTGTAAATCATAGAAAAGGGTGAGGGCAAGACTGCCAGTACTCACTGGCTCATTGGTGATTTAGTACAAGTGTAGCCATCTATGTGTGAAAATAATCTAACAAGTAATCTCACAGTGGGCATGACATGGCATGCCCAGCAGGAATGGGTTAATGGATAATAATGGGTTTATTATCCATTAACCCATTTGCGATGGCTAAAAATGAACAAAAAATGGGGAAAATGCTGTGCTCATTTATATTTTTTATGAAATGTCTACAGATAGATGGCTCTGCTTTACATGATTTCATTTGACGAGAAAAATGTATTTTTTACTAGTGCTATGAATATCAATGGTTATTTTTATTATAAACATTATAATTACTATAATGTTATAAACATTAGTAACAGCAAAATAAGATAACGCAAAATATTTTCGTAAATTAAAGAAAAGGGTAAACAGGAAGGACAGGCAGTACAAGTACAAGTGTAGCCATCTATGTGTAAAAACAATTAAACAAGTAACCTCACAGTGGGTATATCACATATACGTGACACCCGATGTGAATGGTTTAACCAAAGATATTTAATCACATATGGATGGGCAAGAGGCAGTGGCATAGCAGCCACAGACAAGCAATATATTTGATATATCTGATATATTCAAAGTTTATGAGAACACATTCTACTTTGTGAAAATTGTCAGTAATGGTAAAGAAAGACCAAAAAATACATGTATTTATCTTTTATTGACACTGCATGAGTGAGGATGCATGTGGATGGTGATGGCTGGTGAATGCTTGGAGAAGGAGGAACAGGACCCATTTGTGAGGGATAAAATCTCAACCTTAAAACATTTCACATTTAAATGAAGGTGCTAAATTAATAATCAGCTTACATGAGGTTATTTCTAAAATAGTTAGGAACCCTATTTGTATCTTGTCACCTTGGGAAATATCACAGATCTCTATTACAATTTGAATTTAAGAATTAGAGAGAAAAATATAAAATAATAATAATAATAACAATAATAATAGAGTAAAACTGAGATTAGATAATTCAATTCAGTGAAATTCAATGTAATGTAATTCTGATGTTCTCTTCACTTTCATGCATCTAATCATCACAAAATTAAGATCTGGTAAAATTTTGAACAATCAGCACCATCATAAGACACACCAATGTTACTGCAAAATCCATGGTAAAGAAAATCATAAATAGGGCTGCCATCCTTGGAACAGCCTTGACAAGTTTGAAAGATCTGTTGCTTGCTGTATAAGAACTGTCACTTGTTCTGAGACAGAGCGTGCAAAGCCATCCTCTACTCCAGCTAATTTCTGCTGCACTCTCAGCACCACACGATCTGCCATTGAAGCCGAACTGGTACATCCTAGAGAGGGAGAGGGAGAGAGAGAGAGAGAGACAGTGAAAAAGTGGAAAATGTTAAATAAGTTGCAAAGAACTGTATATTCTCTGAAAATATTTATATGCAGGAAACAAAGATGTGTATCTTCTCTGGGTTTGCATCTGCATATCACCATAATGTGTGAACTTAAAAAGAAATTTCCTCATATGACATCAAGATATCAAATCTCTTTTAACATTTGTCTATTTCTTTTACTTTTGCTATTCTTACTCTCTTATTAATATTCTGTTTGTTTCTCAACTTTCAATAATCCAATATGCAGCCTTGTCAAAAACCATGTGAGTAAAAGTAGATAATGATCTAATGTTTTGGAGTTTGAGCCTCTATGCTGCCTCTAGGATCCCAGCAATTCCTAGTACATAGGGGGTGGTGCCAGACTACAAGATCTGGAAGTTGAGGCTGTAAGTCATCTGTTTGTCCAAATAATACTGGGCAAATGGGCTACAATTATTTCCAGACATCAAGGAGTTAACCCAACCACTACGGATTTACATCCTTTCCCCTGTATTTTTTTGTGAATTTTGCTACATACAGATGGCTCCACATGTGCTCAGCCAGCAAGGAGTCTATTAGTAGCCCTAATGACTGATCCTGATTTCCCAATTCCTTGAATTGGCAGGAAAATGTTTTATTTCTTAATGCATTTGATATCAATACTGTTATTGTTATTGATGTTATGATTATTTAATTGTTATTAAAATCTTGGTAACATTTAAGACAATGACTCTTTCCAAAACTCAAGGAAAAGGGTAAACAGGTGAGATAGGTAGGACTAACAACTATCTATGTGTAAATACAATAAATAAACTTATATTACAGTGGGCATGGCATGTATTCTTGCTATCAGTGCTGACTGGGTTCAGAAGGATGATGTTCAGTGAAAATGCTAGTTCTTTACTAATCAAGCTGTGCTTGTACAAGATACAGCTTTTGTGTTTTCTTTGAAAAGTTCTTAGTTTCTTTGCTTTTTATATCTTATTTTTTCTCTATCAGAACTTTTTGGAATTACTCTGAATTACCTGCATACTATTAAAGACAACATTATATTATTTTCACTTATGAAGATACAAAGATAATTGATTATTTAAAATCATCTGCCATGTCAGCAGCTAAGGTTATTAGTAGAGTGCCACACTGAACCACAGGCAGGGAGGCAGGCAAAGTCAGTGCGGGAAATATAAATTTATCCCACTCTCTACACTCTTGGCTGTAGCATAAACAATTGCTTAGGTAATGAGGCTGAAAAGAGGCTTTAAGCTTACTTTTGAGAGCTGCCCAGTCAGGCCCAATTAAGCAAACAACTGTTAGAGTGCATAACTCCAAGCAACTTGACCACAAATGATATGATGAGCTGTCATGCCAGTGTAAGTGATTGTCTACCCATGTGATGGGATGTCAACCATCGTGAGTGGGTTACAATTCAGAATATTTATATAAAGCAACAATCTGACTACAGAATGTTTTCAATATTCCATTGAATGCTAAAAACTAATTTGAAGAGTATAGCGGCTTAGATGTGCATTTTTTTTTTTGGTTTTGAGAAAATTGCATTTGAAGTTTTAAACCAGAGCTGCCAGGAAAACATGGTGCTCATCAATTTTGTAAAATGTCTCAACTCAGCTCCAACTGAGTTTAGCCACCAAGTAGTAATTGGTGACTGAGTATTTGTGGAGGCATCTGTGTGAAAATATAATTATTACACTAAACTCACACTAGGGATGGCATGTACATGCATGCCATCTCTAACAGCATCATGTTAAATATCCTATATAAGCTTCAGTGTTACAAATATAGTAATAAAGAACAGGAACTATAATGAAAAATTCATATTAACCCATTCGCGCCAGGTAAAAATGAACAAAAAATGGGGGAAATGCTGTGTTCATTTTTTATATTTTTTAATGAAATTTCTCTACACTAGATGGCTCTGCTTTACCGAATTTCATTTGGCGGGAAAATGTATTTTTACTAGTGTTATGAATATCGATGGTTATTTTTATTATAAGCATTATAATTACTCTAATGTTATAAACATTAGTAACAGCAAAATAAGATAACGCAAAATAATTTCGTAAATTAAAGAAAAGGGTAAACAGATGAGACAGGCAGTACAAGTGCAAGTGGAGCCATCTATGTTTGTAAACAATCAAACAAGTAAACTCAAAGTGGGCCCGTCACGTAGAAAACATGGTGCTCATCAATTTTGTAAAATGTCTCAACTCAGCTCCAACTGAGTTTAGCCACCAAGTAGTAATTGGTGACTGAGTACTTGTGGAGGCATCTGTGTGAAAATATAATCATTACACTAAACTCACAGCATCATGTTAAATATCCTATATAAGCTTCAGTGTTACAAAAATAGTAATAAAGAACAGGAACTATAATGAAAAATTCATATTAACCCATTCGCGCCAGGTAAAAATGAACAAAAAATGGGGGAAATGCTGTGTTCATTTTTTATATTTTTTTATGAAATTTCTCTACACTAGATGGCTCTGCTTTACCGGATTTCATTTGGCGGGAAAATGTATTTTTACTAGTGCTATGAATATCGATGGTTATTCTTATTATAAACATTATAATTACTCTAATGTTATAAACATTAGTAACAGGAAAATAAGATAACGCAAAATAATTTCGTAAATTAAAGGAAAGGGTAAACAGACGAGACAGTCAGTACAAGTGCAAGTGGAGCCATCTATGTTTGTAAACAATCAAAACAAGTAAACTCAAAGTGGGCCTGTCACGTATACGTGACACCTGGCGCGAATGGGTTAAAGTCAGCGTGCTGCCATGGTTTTTTTTTGTTTTTGTTTTTTGTTTTCTTCACCCATCGCCATTGGGTTAAATCACCATAATTAAAAGGCAGGAAAAAGCAATAACCGACTGTATACAACTACTCACAATAAAAGTTAACACTACGCAAGCTAGTCAACATGTTTTCTTAAAAAATAAATTTTCTTTAGGGATAACTCCTTAACCCAATGGCGCCGGGTGTACAAAAAAAAAAAAAAAAAAAAAAAAAAAAAAAAAAAAAAAAAAAAAAAACTCTACACTTAAGCAAACAAAGGCGGCGCGCCGACTTTGAGTGCGTGAGTAGGGGACATCAGCCCGAATCACTGGCTCGCCGTGCTTTGGTGCGCCGCCAGCTTGTTTGGCTGCACGCCAGCTTTCGAGTGTTTTGTTTTCACACCGATCAGCGTGACCCGGCACCAAGGGGTTAACCCATTGGATCCAGGTGCCTTGCTGCTCACAAAGGTGGCCCAAAAACCAGACATTATCTTTGAGTGGTGACTCTCCTGGGTATATGGCTTGTAGGACAGGCCCACATGATTACTCATGTGCTTTTTTTTTATCTTCCAGGGTCTACATTTCTAATCTGATATGCTATATCATCTCTTTATGTAATTAACAACTCTGTGCAATAACAATAACAATAAGTAACATTTAGTTACTGTCATAATTTTTTTTATTTATTATTATTTTCTATAACACAACCTGCACCACCAGTCACATGGGGCAGGAATAGGATCCTGAGTATGGAAATAGTGTCCTCCCTGGAGCCAACGTTCTTCCAGCCATGGCTCACAGATGGTTGATTTGACACACATTTACTGATGGAAATAATGCAAAAGCCCCTTCCTAAATGCTCATCAAGTCTAACCTTACTCCAAGAATTTTGTGCCTCCTCTATGTTGTGTATGCTAAACACTGTGCTTCTAATTTTTCGCACAAGTGGCCGACTGTACACAGTGCTTGGCATGATGTCTAGTACAACATGAGGCACCTTTGGACAATGGGTTCAAATGCAAATACTACTGTTTATGGACTCTCTCAAGATACATGAACATGGATATAACTGCTACCCAAATACAAGCACACACCAAAATCATCTAACACTCTCAGTACTAAGTTACTACCACAAACCCACCAAATTCTTGGTCCTCCTCGTCGTTCTCCTGCAAGCGTGCAATTTGGTGGGGAGACAGTGTCCACTGGTGCAGGGGGTCATGACGTAAGACCTCAACAACTGTTACAAGCACCTCGCCTGAGTTCCTCAAAACACTGAGCGTTGCCTCGCAGCAGCGACGCAGGGGTCCTTCTACCCCCATTACCCCCAGGCCATCCCGAACATCCTGGCAATAAAGAGATGAAGAAATCTTTATAAATCCTTCAAAACAAAATCCAAACATAATGATATAATGGAGACAAGAAAAAAGCTCAGTAAAATATTTGATTTTCCAGAAAAATAAGAAGCTTGTTCACAACCCATACATACACAAACATTAATGATCTAATAAGATAATATACACAAAAAAAGCAAAGCCTTTACCTGTGTGAGCCTGAAGGGAACAGTCTCAGGTGTGGGAAGGATCTTGCCCAGCTCAAATGCAATGCCCAGATCAATGTGGATCAACTCAGCAGTGGACTTGTCCAACAAGATGTTCTCCACGTGCCTATCACCCAAACCCAGGACATAGCCCACCATGGAGTTGGTGGCAACTGACCGAGTATATGCCAAGCGGCGCTTATACCACTCGTGTGGTGATGGGTAGTTCTCAAAGAAGAAATGTCGAAACACAGGGTGGAAATGCTCCAGGATTTTCTGAAAGAATTAAGTTTGGGAAGACAAATAAACTTTGTTCTTTTTCATCTCACTACATGAAAGATTAACTGTATTAGATGGAATGAAGTTTGTTTTCATACAGATGCAAATGTGGAATATTAATGCACACAAGAATAATCATAAATAACAATAAAAAATAGCTATAAAAGAATAGAAATAAAAAAAAATATCAATAACTTATTTCACCAGAATAAAGGCTAGAATAAATAAAAAACTTTGATAACATCAAAGCCCTAACCTCAAACACTTCATATCTTGCTTCCAATGACTTTCCTTTAGCTTTTCCCATCAATTCCCGACAAACAGCTGCTGTGTAGTCATTGGGATAATAGAGTTTGTGAGCACCACTGTTCTTGTTTGGACCTATTAAGTACTCCCCAAAAGCCTGAAAAAAGAAAACCATCATAGAAAGTACAGTTGGTGATAGAGCAATAATACTACTAATTCAAGTGTAAGACAATAAAAAAATACATAATGAAAACAAACATTAAAAGTATGCCTATCCATAAAATTTTGCTTGTGTGAATGCAAGTTACACTGAACCTTATTGACATTTTAAACTTGTATGGAAAAATGCCCTTGTTTTGATTATTCTCTT